GTGGCTATTTGTATCTCTAGCACCTAGTTCAATGACCGCCCAGAGCAGATGCTCAGTAAGTATGTGTTCTGACTCATAGACAAGCCATTGACTGAAGAGCAGGTTTTTGGTTTTTCCTTTTTTTGGAAAAAACATAAAAGAAGAAGAAATAGCTGTAATATAAAAATCGATTGGAAGACACATGCTGATTTCAAAAACGTTAAGATAGGAGAGCAAAGTATTTTTTTGAATCTTGAAAACATGGTATTTGGTGAATTTGAGTGGAGCAGAACTTTTAAGTCCTAAATAAAGGCATATACAGCTAGAGAGGCAGAATGGAACCAGATTGTGTTAGTCCTGGATTCCGGGTTAATACTTTTGATTTTTAACAGAGCGTTGCTGAAGGCTTTTTGAGCAGGTAGTCTGCTGTAGGAAAAGTAACAGTTAGAATCAGTGAAAAGTTAGCACTGCTTCCAATGGGCAACAACAGAGAACCAAAATGTATTGCACTTACACAACAACAGGAAATAGGCTAAGTGAGTTTGAGTATCATTTTAGCTTATCAACCTCAAACAGAGAGTCATCCTATCTTACTATTGAGGAACCCAAACTCAGAGAGGATTAAAAACCTTTCCCAATGTTACTCTGCTAGTGAATTGTGACATAGTTTGCTTTCCAACACAGCATAAAAAAAGTTCTATATTTAACACGGATATTCTATTTTCCAGAAAGGAAAAATACTTCTTTCCAGTATTAGGAAAGTAATGCCATACTCCTTCTTAGTTATCCTAGTTTCTTGAATCCAGAAACTAGTAATTGACTTATCTGGGGGGAGGAGGGTTAAATATCTTGAGAAACATTGTAATTTTGATTTTGGTTAAGTTGATGTGGTGGAGATGGATAGCTGACCATCGAAGATTTGCAATCTCTTTCCAGGGAAAAGTGTTGACGGGAAGCAGCTGCCCAGCCAGTTCTTTTGCATCCAGTTCTCATCAACAGCATTTGAGCAGAATGAAGGTGTGTTAATTCTGGTCCGACTTTCTTCTGCAATGCCTTCTCCCCATCCGCCGGAGGAATGGAGAGAATTCTAAAACCCAGAGGAGAAGGGAGCCACGTGATGGAAGAGCCTGGGATTCAGAGATCGCATGAAAAGCTGCCAGCCAATTAGAAACTGTGATTACTTGGGCAAGAAACATTACTTGAGCAGGAACAAAACCTCTGTTGTGTTAGCCATGGAAGTTTAGGAGTTTATCTGTTCCCAAAGCTGGTAGCATTTTAATGAATTAGTTGCTAATATGTTTAAATCACCATTATGAAATAAATAAATAGTGAATATGCAGAAGATGTGTTTATTTGGATTTGTGACTTGGATTACATTACAGATTTGACTTATAATGATATACAGTTTACAGTAAAATGCCAAAATGTACAGAAGTTTTAAAGAGTAAGCTTGCCTTTTCACCCTTTGGATCTAAAAGTGTCGGTACAGTTACAAATTGTCTCTACATTCAAGGAGTTTGTCACACAAAACCTAAGTATTTTGAGTAAATTGATTATTCTTTTGTGCTTAGCATCATGGTATCTTTGGGTTTCCAACAGAGATGGACTTTGTGGATAAATGAAAGCACTAGCTGTTCTTTTCTTTTATTTTTTTCTTTTTTTTTCCTGCTTTTTTCTCCCCAAATCCCCCCAGTACATAGTTGTATATTTTAGTCGTGGGTCCTTCTAGTTGTGGCATGCGGCATGCCGCCTCAACATGGCCTAACCAGCTGTGCCATGTCCGTGCCCAGGATCCGAACCCTGGGCCACTGAAGTGGAGCGTGAGAACTTAACCACTGGGCCATGGACTGGCCCCTGTTCTTCTTTTAGATCTGCTGGTTTTCTCCCTCTGATACCAATGAACACTGTTGATACTCAGAAGCAATTAGAGCTAAATTTAGAAAGATTTAACAATTAGAAACTCTTAGTTATTTACTTTCCTTCAGCTTAGCAGTATCTAAAACAATCCCAGAGCTTTTTCTGGGCACGTGTGTTTGTCCTATTAGACCTGTTTACATTGAGGTTTTTCTTTATTATACATTAGCGGCATTGTAAATTATCAAGAGAGTTAAGCCTACCAAAATTTTGTTTGGCTCTCATTGTTTGCACTGACCCTACGCACGCACAAGGTTTATGTATGCAGGCTCATTGCAATAATCAGTTGTTTATTTTGAGGGATTAGGTTCTTAAGCAGCTTTTCCACCTCTGTTTCCCATGGTCTCTGTGGAATCAGGCCCTCCAGCTTCTGCCCACAGCCAGCTCTTTTCTCCCCAGAACTTGTCTATACGGAAACCCTCTTTTCCTAGGCATCCATGAGCAAATATCCTTCCTAGACCCTTAACCTCTTTAACCATTGATGCTATCATGTATAAATACATTTCTTAGGACAACCACCAACAATTCAATCTGCTTTGAATATATTTCACCCTCAACCATGGATGGAATTTAGGCTCATTTTAGGGACCTCTACCCTCAAGTACATTGGGATATGTATCAAAATGAAAGGCAGAGACAGTTTCTTGTCCTAAAAAAATAAAATAGCAGTTATTTTACCTGCACAATGGGTTTATTTGGGAATAGCAGAGGATTTGCAATTCAGGAAAACCAAGATATTGCAAAAGCCACAGGCAAGTCCAGCAAGCAAAGGAGAGGAATATTATAGAGAGAAAGAAATTTTATAGAGAAAATGAAGGAAGTTGGAAGGGGTTATTTTGAACAAAATTCCATTGGTGGAAAGCGAAAGGTCAAGGTGGTGGCAGTCTCTCACTGGCTGAGTTGTTGGGGTAGTTGATTTCTTGTTGGGGATGCAATCTATATCTCTTCCTGTTGGGGTCTGTAATTGATGATTCTTCCTATAGTAGGATGTGAGGGCTCCCACTTCTGGTCTCCTCACTCCATTTTAAATGAGGTTTCCTTAATTCAGTTTCACACCCTGCATATTAAAGGAATTCAGAGAAGGGGCAATCCGAGTGGCCTGCTGTAGTCAGATTTTGATTCATGAAATAGATAAAACTTGAGTGAGACTTTGAGATGTGGAAAAGATTTGAATGATCAGAGAGGAGGCTGGGCATTCTCAGCAGAGGATAGACATCAAAGGAAAAGGCACAGAAAGAGAGAGGTGAACATGACATATTCAGGATAGAATAAAGAGGAGAGTCTGGCAGGTCCTGGAGGCATGTAAGAAAGTCTTAGGGGAGAATCTTGAGAAAACAGAGAAGGCCCTGATGCACTTGAACTCTCTCATCCAGGAACAGTGGAGCTACTTAAACAAGAGTGACAGCTGACAGTGGTGAACTAGGAAGATTACCTGGTATTGGAGTGAAGAGAGGACAGCAGAGGGTAGACACCATGGACAGTGCGACCACTTTGAGAATTATTGTAATAATCTTGGTATTGGAGTAGTAGATAGCAACAGAGATGCAAATCTGGGAAGGAGCCATTTCAAAGAAGGACTGTAAAGATTTTACAAGTGATGGGATATAATGAAAGAGTAAATTGATCAGAGGAAGTATAGTGCCATTGATAAAAATCAAAGGACTCTGATTATAGATAGTGAGCCTGCTGAGAACATTTAGACATCTTGGATTTGACGTGGGACATCAAAGCAGAAGTGCTGGGAAGGGGGAGTTTTACATCCAATGTGAAAAGGGAACTCACGTAAGAGGACAATGAAGTATTGATTTTGGAGCTATCTCTTTGTGCTGGACAGTTTCCTTCTCCCACCTCAACTGACTCTACATTTTTCTCCACCCTGCTCCATACCCCAGGAGGCAGGTTTGCATGGTCTAGTACATTAAGCTGAACTTCCTTGCCTTCTGGTTTCCAGTGAAGCTTAACCAATGGGAAGCACTGGCAAGAGACTGAAGGGAAGAAGGAGAATAAAGTTGAAGTATTTATTCCTCCTGGCTCCCTCTTTTGGGATCTGGTTGGTTCACTGCTCAACTGAAGGCCACAACGCCTGGCCATTAGTACATGAGAAAATACAGCTTATAATGGCATCCTCAGGCTGGCAAGTGTTCTAATCTTTCTTCCTCTCAAGGAGCCAGAAACTAGCCCAGCTGCGGGTGCAGGGATGAAGTAGAATGCTTCTTACCGGACAGTGTCAGCGAGTCCCAAGTAAGAAGCATGATCAGAGTGGAGAACCCAAATAGCAAATGACATTCAAAGAGCCCAAAGAGAGACTCATCTACTGATGTTCTCCTAGTGTTTCCCAGCCCTGGGTAAAAGGCTGAGAAACCGATACCTTGAACTTGGCAAAGCTCAGCAAATCTCCCTTGGGCTGCTGCTCATCGTGTGTATAACTTTTTTCTTTGGCAAAAGTTGACTTCCTGCTCCTTTCCTGTGGGAGGGAGTACCAACAAATTAAAGATAAGGGGATTAGCTGAAGGTCTGGGGTTGGTCACTTCCCACACAAAAATCTAAGCCCCCTAAGTCATTTGGGCATTTGATGGCTACCATTTAAAGCTAATAATCTCCAAGTAAAGATACATATCGTCTTTACGAACTCTTACCTATGTACAAGATTTGTAGAGAAACCTCTTCCGGTTGTGCAACCTGAGGCAAGTTGCTCAATTTCACAATGGCTCAATTTTTCCAAGATAAAATGAAGATAACAGCATACTAAGTAGATGCTTTTGTCATCTTCGTATTATAATTTAAAAAACTAGGATGTTGTGAGGACTTAACGAGATAACGTATGCAAACTGTATAGCCCAGAGTCTGGCACATAAGTCGCTTACTACTGCAGGAAATAAAGTAACAGTCACTGAGCACTCATCGCGTGCATGCAGTGGGGAGCTTTCTCATAGTTTATCATATATAACCACCAGCAGCTCTAGCATGTGGATCAGGATTCTAAGAGCTGAGCCACACACAGGAGGCAAAGGGTGCAGAAGTTCTGCCAGAAGATAGCCCCCCAAGGGTGGGTGTGCTGGGGTCCCCAGCGACCCGGTGGGGAGGGGGGCGCACGGGCGCGCGCGTCCAGGGCGCAGGCGCCGCGCGTGCTCATCCTCGGCGGCGTGGGTGCTGCTCTTCGCCTCCATCGGCTCCGCTGCCGGCTGTCTCTTACCCAGCCAGCTCCATGAGGACCAAGCAAGTGAACTTCCTGATCGCGTTCGCAGCGGTCGTGCTCTTCAGCTTCTCCTGCTTCTGCATCTCTAGGATGACTCAAACCAGTAAGCCGCGGGTGGCTCCTCTCGCCTCCTTTCCCGCCTCCCTGGCTTCGGGGCTTCGGGATGCTGGGGCGGCTGGATGGGAAGGGAGGCGACGTGGGAACCTGGCTGCTGTCACCCGGTCTCGTCTTTGGGGCTTTACAGATGTAGCCCGCCACGCCTTTGTCCCGCCAGCGGTTAAGCTGTAACGGGTGCCCCTGGTCCACCGGGGTGGCGGTGACCTCGGCAGGCGCGCGCGCTAACGGATCGGCCTGCGGGCGCTCCTGGTCCTCCCAGGCGTCTGCGGGCTCCTTTCCCTCCAAAGGTTCAAGGGTCCAATCTGCGCACAGCTTTCCTGCCACCCCGCTACCCCCAGGCGTCGTCTTCTCCATGGTTTCCAGAAACATGTGAATGTCTGACTTCAAGAACTCCTTACAAGAACTCCTTACACAGTCAACAGCTTTCCTCTTTCGTGTTCTACGTTACGTTATTGAGCCACGCTTCAAGGCTCCCTCAAGTATTTTTTAATATCTTAATTTTTTTTAACTTTAATTTTTTTTTCCTTTTTCTCCCCAAAGCCCCCTGGTACATAGTTGTGCATTTTTAGTTGTGGGTGTTTCTAGTTGTGGCATGTGGGATGCCGCCTCAGCATGGCTTGATGAGCAGTGCCATGTCCGCGCCCAGGATTCGACCCACGAAACACTGGGCAGAGCGCCCGAACTTAACCACTCCGCCAGGGGCTGGCCCCCTCCCTCAAATATTTTTTGCGAAGCTGAAAAGGTATGAGATGGAGAGAGACATAATCGATGATTTAGAGCACTGGTTTAGCCCCTGAACTTTCTCAGAGCGCAGCTTGCGTTACCACTTTGAAACACACCACGGTTTTCATTTATTGTTGTCTGTAGAGTTGCCAACTTAGCATATAAAAATAGAGGATGCCCAGTTAAATTAGAATTTCAGATAAACAAGGAATAAGTTTTTAGTATAAAAATTGCGTGGGATATGTTTATACTAAAACAGCATTGTTTATCTTAAATTCAAATTTAGCTGGGCTTCTTATATTTTATCTGTCAACTCTAGCCCATGGTGTAACATTTTAGCATTCATAGTTGAATTTTGAATTTAAGATTTAAGAATCCTGTAAATATAATAACTCAGCCTTCCAAGATTGTCCTTCTGTGGTTTTTGGGTTAAATTTTCATTCTTCTTCTTAAACACATTTATGATTCATGGTGCACACAAAGCAATCTTACAAAAGTAATAATGTCAAGGATCAAATTTGGAAGTGGCTTTAGTCCTGTAATTAATGTTTATGTCCTCTAATTACTGTTAAAATTATGTTTTAGTCATCTGGTTAATACTAAATTTTGTTATGGACATACATCAACATTGTACCACATTTGTTTCAAAGATTAGAAGTGTATATTTATCTGAATTATACTACTAATCTTTAATCATTTTATATACTTTCACTCTTCTTCATTTTCTATAAAGAAAACTATCCAAATGTGTTTTTATTTATTTCAGAACAATAAACCACGAGTACTTTTATAACAAAAAATAAGCAATTACTCATAATTAGAAAGCAAAATATAAACTTATAGTATTTTTGAACTGCAATTTAGATTGGTAACCTCAGAAGGCATTTTAATACAGTTAATATTCTTTTGATGAAACTGTAGACTTTGAGATATACACAACGATTTTTATGTTTTCTAGTTTTGACCAAGAAAGAAGTTTGGTTCTGTGAAGTGTTCGTATTCCCATCGTTCATATGTTCAAGTTCAGAAAATGAGATTGTTCTTGAGAATGCACTACTCTTAAAAGAGCAGATAAAACAGGCTTTTCATTTTCTATGTGTTTCTGTGGAACGTAGCTCTAAAATAATTAGGAAATCAATCCTAGTACTATAATGAGATGTTCTTACATAAACAAAAGAAAACACAGTCTTCATGTAGTTTTTGAAGTAGTAATTTTTATAAAACACTGAAGATAGTCACAATATTTTAAAAACCTGACCTATAGTTGTAATTCTTATCAATGAAAATTTGGGAATATTTATTAGAAACATAGCCACCACCTAGTGCTTTATTCTTTTCCCCTTTAAAAATTAGTTTTTATGGGGCCAGCCCCGTGGCCGAGTGAAGTTCACATGCTCCACCTCGGCAGCCCAGGCTTTCAACGGTTCGGATCCTGGGCGTGGACATGGCACCGCTCATCTGGCCACTATGAGGCAGCGGCCCACATTCCACAACTAGAAGGACTCACAACTAAAAAATAGACAACTATGTTCTGGGCGGATTTGGGGGAGAAAAAGCAGAAAAAAAAAAAAAAGCTTGGCAGCAGTTGTCAGCTCAGGTGCCAATCTTTAAAAAAAAATTAGTTAATTTTTATGTGTAGATAACCTTTTTGTTTCTTTCTGTGAGCTCATGATATTAATAATTAATTTGTTCAACAAATAAGCAAGTTCCATGAGGAGAGAAATTTTTTTTTCTGTTTTTGCCTGTTTGGTTCACTGCTGTGTCCCAGACCCAGGAGAATGCCTAGCATGTGATAGGTATGCTAAATATTTTTGAAGAAATGAATAGTTGAATGAATGAGTGAATGAATGAATTTAGTAATTACCTACTCACGTTGTAGGAACTACGCAAAGTTTTAAAAACCCCTTACTTTCATGGAGCTTACATTCTGATTAGGGGAAATGAACAACAAACATGAATGATATAGTTGCTGTGTGATGTCAGGTGTTGGCAGGGCCAGGGCAGAGGGAGTACTATTTTGGTTACGGTTGTCAGAGAAGGATTCTCTGAGAAAGGCATATTTGAGTAGATTTCTGAATGAAGTGAGGAGGCATTTTGTGTGGGTATCTCGGGGAAGGGTTTTCCAGGCAATGAGAAAAACAAGAGCAAAGGCTCTGTGATGGAATCAGCTTGATAAGATGGAGAAACAGCCAGGAGGCCAATGTGAGCAAGGAGGAGAGTCACAGAAGGATGAGATGGCGGAGACCATAGTAAGAACTATGACTTTTATTCTGAGTGAGCTAGGAAGCCTTGCAGGCATTTTTTAAAGAGGAGTGATATGATGGCACGTATGTATTTAAATGATTGTTGGGTGTGGGCTATGAAAGAAAGAGAAGAATCGTAGAATGCTCCAAGCATTTTTGCCCACACCAGGCTTTCTCAACCTTAGCACTATTGATATTGAGGCTGCAAAATTCTTTTTCTGGGGGGCTATCTCGTATATCGTAGAATGTTTAACAGCATCCCTAGACCTTATCCACTAGATGCCAGCAGCAACACTCCCTCTCCAGTGTGACAATGTCTCCAAGACATTACCAAATGTCCCCTGGGAGGCGTAATGCCCCTGGTTGAGAGCCACCAGTTTATTTTTTATTTTTTTTTAATTTTATCTTTTTTTTGTGAGGAAGGTTGGCTCTGAGCTAATCTCTTGCCAACCTTCTTCTATTTTATGTGGGATGCTGCCACAACATGGCTTGATGAGTGGTGCTAAGTCTGCGCCTGGGATCCAAACCTTCAAACCCTGGGCCACCCAAGTGGAGTGTGCGAACTTAACCGCTATAAGAGCCACCAGTTTGAACAAGTGAAGAAAGGGAGTTGCCATGTAGTGGAATAGTGAAGCCTGCAGGAGGAGCAGATTTGAGGGGTAAAATCAATATTTCTGTTAAGAATAAGGTGCTCATTAGACATCTAGTGACAGTGTTGAATAGGCAATTGGATATATCATTTTGGGTCAGGATTGGAGATATAAATTTGAAAGCTGTCAGCGGATAGTGTTTAAAGCCAATGAGATTGGATGAGATCATGTTGAGAGCGGCTGTAGATAATGAAAAGTTCCAAAGAGTGAGCTGGGGAATTCCAATATTTCAAAGTCAAAGAAGAACTAGGAAGCTGAGAGAGCTGAGCCAAGAAAGTATTTCAAGAAGAGTTTAACACTGTCAAAAAATGCTGATAAAGTTCCCTAGTGCAGTCATAAAAGGCCATTGCACTCATAATCTTTAAAGTCATCATCACCACATTATTGGGGAATACAGCAGCCACTTGATCTCCAGGGCCTCAATTTGAGTAGGTGCTTCATGTCAGTCAACCGCAGATGATAATTTAGATAAGCATTTTGCCAGTGCCTCTCATGGACCTCCAGTATCACATCTTCTAGTGGGGTGTGGTGGGTATCCATGCAGTTAAGCCCAAGGAGGGCAGATAACCAATCCCAGATTCCCTCCCTTGAGAGTGTGTTTCCTGGGTAATGCAGCCACTCCAGGAGCCCCTAGCCATCTGTTAGCTACCTCCCTTGGAAAAGCCAGCACTTGGCCTGCCACTACCACTGACCTGGACCTGCTGCTGCTGCTGCCGCCACTGCCTGGACACTCCAGCAGGGGCTAGCAGTTTGGTGGGGGAACCACGAAAAGCAGCATGACTTCGCCTTTTTATACTCTCTAATCTGGCACAGCTGCCTCCCACTGGCACAATGTAATGAGAACACAACTGACAAGGGGATCTGGGACAAGGAACTGACTTCTGGTCTTGATCATACCAAAGAGAGTGTAGAAAGGCATATAAAGACTGAGTGTCAGCAGATGGGGTTTTTAGGAAGTCCAGGAACAAGCCAAGCTAAACTGCATATTATAAGGGACAGAAATAAATTGATAAAAACTGAATTCTAAAAAGCAAAGGAACAGTAAACATAATTCAGGAGAGCAGTAACATCAGCAAGATGGGGTAGAAAAGGAATCCACTGTAGGAAGCAAAGGCATTGGGTAATAGGCTAGTTGTCAGCATGGGTGATGGGTTACTCGTATGCATTTCATATTATGCTGCAGAGCTTACCTATGTATTACATGGTTTTCTTTTGTATGTATAACGTTTTTAAAAACTGAAAGAATTTGTACTCATATTGATGAGTGATAGGAGGCACACAGTACTCAGTTCTTGAGAATATAGAACAATCAGAATGCATTTTTACAAATGTCTTTAAATAAATGCTAATTTTTATATGCATATGTAATT